CTGTGTATCTTCGTTAAACTTGTTTCTAACAGGCACAGAATCAACCTGAGAGAAATGTTACCATTTTAAATCGAAAGCTTTCTCTGCCAGTAACCGAAGTCACTTTTTTTGTGGCAGCTTCAATCTGCAAGTTGAGGCATGAGGTTTCTCTCTTTCTTTTCGAATTTGCTTCTTCTTTCTCCTTCCTTTATCTGCCACTGTCTGCCACAGCCCTATATGGTAAAAGTCTGTAGCACACTCAGTATACAGGAAATGATGAAAACCTTAGCACCCACACTCATGCAAACACGCTGTGTTCTGTGGTGCTCATTTGTGTTTATACTTAACCATACTACTGTTATCAATGAAAAGCATTATTTGATAAGAAACTAACAATTCTCTGATAAAAAAAATACCCTTTGCTTATTTCTTTTTTTATCCATCCTGCCTTTATGCATATCATCACATGCACATTAAATTATGTCAAGAGTGCAACTATTTCTCAGAGTGCCTTCAAGTGTGACTTATGCTTGGCACCTTTATCTAGATAAAAATATCAAGGGCTCTGTGTTTAAAAAAAAAAAAATTATGCCCCAACTCTTGTACACTCATTTTTGTTCTCATTTTCAGTATAGCTATACTGTATATAATATATTGACAGTTATTTTCCATTATATATTTTTTATGATACACTATCTTAAAATTTAAATGAACCCTTCATGAAATATGAGGTCAAATGGTTTGACAGATATTTTTATTATAGAGGGTGTACTTGAGATTTCTAATTAGATAGTCATAATTAAACAGCTGAATATGTTTGGGACTATAAAAGCTGACCTTTTCTTTTGATCTTTGTGCTTGACCTTTCATTGCATTGTGTTTGTCTCTGCATTGGATTGCAAGAAGTGGGCCTGATCAATAAATGAATAAATTCGTTATCCAGCTCATTGACCCATATACTAAAGAGCTATAGCCCAATTAAATAGACATTTCTAGTGGGCTGATACTTCAGGGAGATTGATAGATTTGTTTGGAATAATTAAACTTGAGCCAGATACAGACAGATTTTCTGGTTAGGGTGCTTCCTGTTTCAGTACTGAAATATTCTGTTGGTACCTGGTTAATATTATAGTTGGATTTATGAAGCCATGCCGGTGCTGCGATCTCATGATACATTCCTTGATCATTACTGTTCAAAAAATTGGAGTCAGTAGATTTTTTTAAAGATAAAAATTATTTTCTTAAGCAAGCATGCAATAATTTCAGAAGTGACAAGTAGGAATTTTACATTGTTACAAATATATATATATATATATATAAAGTTATATGAATATATATATATATATATATATATTGAAATATATATTTCAAGTTAATCCTTTTCTTTTGAACTCAAAGAATCATGAAAAAAATAAATAATAAACATATTTCAAAAACATTTTAAAAAATCCTACTGACCCTAAACTTTTGAACAGAAGTGTGATTCATTGTTTTGTGAATTTAGATCAGTTCAATTAAACTACACGTATTAAGAACGCTTAACATTTAATTAAAAAAATGTTTTCTGACACTTCTAAAAAAATACTTGGCTGGTTGGAGTGCATCTTGTTAGCACATAACAATGGCAGCACTGTGCCAGAGCATGAATGGTTTACAGGAACATTGAGAAGTGACCTATTCACTCACTCTCAATGGGTGCCCCTTTCTTGTCCCAGTTAAATCCCATCTTCCTGTTCATCCAAAGCCAGACTTAACCAAACTAACCAGTCGTCCATCATGTCATTTTCGCTAGATTTCCTGTACTCTTAGGCCCAGATGTAAATAAAGATGCTCTGAAACATCGGAAAACTCTGTAATAAGGCAAAACAGCAGATCATTGTGTAAACCCTGCCCTCCAATTAATACTTTTATTCAGCAATTAGTCAAAAGTAACAGTAAAGACTTTTACATTATTACAAAAGATTTCCATTTCAAATAAATCCTGTTCTTTTGAACTTTCTATTTATCCTGAAAGAATATGCATTACTGTTATATTTGCAACTAACAACCGCAAAAATTTTAAGCAGCACAACTTTGATAATAATAAGAAATGTTTCTTGAGCAGCAAATCAGTACGTTAAAATGATCTCTGAAGGATCATGTGACACCGAAGACTGGCGTAGTGGTGCTGAAAATTAAGCTTTGCCAGGAATTTTGCAGGAATAAATTGTATTTGTAAATATAGGTTATTTTAAATTGTAACTATTTGACAATATTACTGTTTTTATGGTATTTCTGATCCAAAAAACGCAGCCTTGCTGAGCATGGAGACGTCTTTTATTAACCCTTAACATTTAAACGCTAGTGTACATTTCTCTTTTGTAATATTTATCCCAAAACAGTCACCACATGACTTCAGTAATGTGTGTGGGGTATGAAATACGCTTGAACTGGGAAGCCTCTGGAATGCAGGAAGGATCCGAGCAGAATAGCTGGCAGTGGCTTCCTTGTGAACAAGACGCCAAAGAATCTTCAGAAACATGTCCACACACACACGCACAGCATTCTTGCTCTCAAACACACATTCTGTGTGACAGCGAATTGTAGGAAAGCAAGCAAGCCAGTTGTCAGAACATGTACGCCTCTCAAAGCCCCATACTAGCCTATCTGTCTGACTGTGTGTTTGCGTGGCTTAAGACATTCTTGATGACAGGATCAATACAAAGGCCTTCCCTCTGCGTGAGGAGAGACTAATTAACATTCACATGTAATTTCTCTCATTAAAGTAGTCCCCAAAGTCACTCAGCAAAACCTGACACTCAAGCTATCCCTGCTGTTACAAACACACAGCTAATAGGCGCAATGCTGCTGCTAGCATGATTAAAATGCTTTTTAGCATGTTGCTAAAGTGTTTGATAGTTGGTTAATTACTGGCCAAACTCAAAAAAGCAAGTATGGATGCACTGATATATTATAATTCTAGCCAATAACTGATAAATAGATATTAAAATGTATACTATTTTGTCTAAATGCATTCAATATAAAACACTAAAAACTAAAATAAGCATTTTAAATGTGAAAAGAAATTTAGGCACCACAAAATTATAATGTATGGTATGAAAATGGATATTAATTGTTAAATTTGATGAAGATTACATTTAACAGTGTTATTCATTTATGCTTTTAATTATTAACTAAGTGTTCATATTAACAATATTAATATTGAGTTAAATATAAATGTTTTTATGTTTTTGAAAGATGTCTCTTATGCTCACCAAAGCTGCATTTATTTGATCAAAAATACAGTAAAAACAGTAATATTGTGATTAGTTTAATTTTAAATAACTGTTTTGTATTTTAATATATACTTTATTCTTGTGATTACTTATTTTATTATTTCTTGTTATTTATATTTATTATCAATGTTGAAAACAATTGTGCTGCTTAATATTTTTGTGGAACCTGTGATATTCACGCTTTTTTTTTATTATTAAAAGAAAGTTCAAAAGAAAAGCATTTATTTTTGTAACATTTTAAAATGTATGTCTATGAATTTTAACACTTTTGTAACATTATAAATGTCTTTACTGCCACTTTTGATCAATTTAATGTGTCTTTGCATAATAAAAGTATAAAGAAAAAAAAACTTTTGAACGGCATTGCAATTGAAATGTAAAAATAGGGAAAATGAGCATGTAAAATTAAATATAAAATACTGACGTTTTAATATCAATATATTAAAAAATGCCAATTTTATCATTTTGTCATCTCTTATCGTCTGTAGCATGAACTGTGCAGAACAAGTTACATGCCAAAGTTTAATTCTAGTAAGGCTAAGCTCCACTGACCCAATTTTACCAACTATTAAGACAACACACACACGCAGATCTTCCACAGGCCCCAGTTTCAGCGTCTACATTCCTGCCCCACGTCTCTCTGTGCTACCAAAACTCAGCGTCATAAAAGCAGCCTGGAAGAAGCTTATAGATTATGGATTAAGCAATTATGCAGTTGGACACAAATCTGTTGGACTAAACGTAAGGCAGGGAGAGAAGGAAGAGAGATGGGGGGAGGAGAAAAGAGGTTACAACCTTGGTGGGCAAGGTTTTTGGGGGCCATTATTGACAGGCTTTGGAGCAGAGCAGTTTGGCGTGAGGCAGCCTGACCACAGCGGTGGCCATGACAACCCCTGGGACTCCCCCATAAGCCCTCTGGGATTGTTAGCATTCGTGCAGAAGAGTGTCGTACCAAGCAGCTTGCACTACCTCAGCGATGCAGAAGTCAACTCATTGACAGCAAAACAGCATCAAAATATGGAAGCTTGATTCCACCACAGGTGGTAATTGTGACATTTGATCTCATTATTCAGACTTTTTTCCCTAATTCTAAGTTTATATCTCACAGTTTTGACTTTTATTCCTCACAAGTTGGATTTGTGACATGTTAACTTGAAATTGTGGATCTAAATTCTGAGAAAAAAGTCAGAATTGTGATATAAACTCATTATGAGAAAAGTTATGAGAAAAAAAATATTAAATAAAAAAAGCTGCAATTACCTTTTTTAATCCTGTGTCAGGAAAAAAAATCAGATATGCGAAATATACTCAGAATTCAGAGGAAAAAAGTGAGAATTGTGAGATATGAACTCATAATTCAGAGGGAAAAAAAGTCAGTTGCAAGATATAAACTCAAAATTCAGAGAAAAGTCAGAATTGCGAGTTGCAAACTCAGAACTGCATGAAAAATGTCAGAATTCGGAGTTTATGTCTTCCAATTATAACATTTTTTCTTAGAAATCTCATTTACATCTTGCAATTCTTTTTTTTTTGTACATAATAAAAAAATTAAAAAAGGTAATTGCGACTAAAAAAATATCAAATAAAAAATTGTGAGAAACAAAGTCAGAATTGAGATATAAATATATAAACTCTGAATTGTGAAAAAATTTCAATTCCCCCCCCCCGTGGCTTCCGGGCTTCCATATCAACAGTATAAAAAAAACAGTATAAAAAACAAAATATAATACACAAGGACAAAATGTCTTGAAAAAACAACAATTTTATTCCGACATGATTGCTTTTGTGACCATCTTATTTTTTGTCTTGGCTCCGGAGGCATTTTTATTTTAAAGAACCACAGATTGTATTTTTAAAGCAAATAGAACCTACTTTCTTTAAAAAAGAAAAAGAAAAATTATATTCTTGGGTATTTTAATTTAAACCAAAATGAAGGCTACACTAGAGAAATGGCTGCTCCTAGGTTGGGTGGAGAGAGCGAAACCAGAAATCAGAGCTACGAGATAATTTTAAGACTCCACCCCCTGCATGCAAGTTAGCCAGTCACAGTGCAGTGTCTACAAACACACACAAACACAAAAGCACACATTCCATGATGTCTTCCTCTCCATGGGAGATTGAGACAGTAAACACAGTGGTCTGTATTCAGCGGGGAGATGAAGACTCATAATAAACCCCTTGGAAAACAATGCTGGACTCATATGCTCTCCATTGATTATGGAAGCGCATCACAGTGATGACAACTCCGAGCCAAAGGAGCATCATCAGAAACAAAAATGCCCCTGAAGAAAAAGAGAACCTCATAGCACTAATAGAGATGACTTTGAGATGATGCACAGTACAGTAGATAGATAAATCAACCATGGCCAGACTGGCAAGAGAGGTGAGGTATGTATATTTATGTTTGTTTGTATGCGTGTGTGTATGTTTGTGTGTGCGTGTGTATGAGATGACATTTCCTCTTTCTTCTCCTCCAACCCTATGGACACCCGCCCCCAAGTTCTATTCAGCCTGGGCATCGTAGTTGGCCCCGCCGGCCTTTTTCAGCTCGTTGCGGAGATATTCTTCCTCCAGTTCTCTGGGATCACTGATCATAAACTCCTTGGCAAAGTTCTGCATGGAAAAATTAGGGAAAACACACTATGATTGATATGGAGGGAAAGGCACATTTGCATGAATGCACCAATTTGTTTACAGAGAAAAAGAACTTGAAATCTGCTTATCTGGGTGTGTCGAAGTTTGTAAGTCGGAGAGTTTGCATATGGTATAGCGATGGAATTAGAGAACGCAAAACCCACCTGCACGATGTCTTTTACCAATGTCTTGTCAGTGCTAATCTTGGCTCTTTGCAGTCCGCTGATGTTTTCGCCAATCCAGGTGATGAGGGTGAACTTGGCACGCTTGCTCATGGCGTCGCCCGTCAAGATCCTTACAAAACCGAAGAGGCGGTTGTCATCTGAGTCAAAGAGAAAGAAATCCTTAACAAGTTGTGCCATTTTCTGGATAGTTGCTTGTTTCTTTTAGCACTGTGAATTGATTAAAAATGTGTATGTGTGATTAAGATCATTAATTATGCAAAACATTTGCTGAGAAAAGCCCCCAACTAAACTGACGATAAATCAGACTTTACTCTGGCAGACAAGAAAATCCATTGAAGATACATTTTGAAAGGTGGCTTTAGAAGTCATTATTTTTATTTATTTTTTTCTACATTGAATAACAAGTGTACAGTATACCTATTTGCCACAAATTTAAATTCCACAAGATTACTTCCTCAATGAATAAAATCTCAACAAATAAAAAAAACAGTAACATAAGAGATCATTTAAAAATGAACACATTTTAAATAAATAACAATAATAACATACATTTACAAAATAACAAGGGGAGAGGGAGTCAATATGGTTTGCTTTACTTCCATATCATTGAACATAAGCCTATCACTGGCCTACAGTCACAAACACTGACATGCACTTTGCCAATGAGTTTGTCGATCGGTCTTAAAAAAAACTATGCCTTTGGTTTGTAATTTTTTTTTTAAGTCAACAACTTATTTCACTTTCGTAATCTGACCTTTTCTAGTGAAACAGGATAATTAACGAGAAAATTGAGTGAAAAGTGAGGGGTGGAGCAATGATGCCTGGAGGGGAGGAGTTAAAATAGTAAGCGGGATTCATGATGTCAGCTGAAAGGGCGGTGCAAACTATTTTATTTTGATATGGTATTTTTATTTTGGAATTACATGTATCAATGGATTGTGAACAATAAAACCAGGAACGTGATTTAAAATAGATAAAATCGGGTTTGATTTCATGTTGACTTAATATGAAAATCACATTAATGTGCTTCATTATTGTCACTCCGGTTTAGCTGAACTTTGTGTGTTTAATAACAAGGAAGGGCTTGGATTCGACTGAACACAGTCTCCATTGTAGCGAGTGTTTTGAATCTACACTATTGCATTGTTTTCCTTTCCAGAGAAAGACGTCATGATATGAAATGCAATCTGAGAGCATCACGTGCGAGCTGCGGACAAGGCTGAGAAATGTAAGCTCTATGACATCATGCGACATGAAAAACAAGAAATAGAGAAAGTGGGCGAGGACAAGAGGTGATCTAGTAAACGGACTCTAATGATAAGCGTGATTTACGGTGTAATATTTGATCTGTAACACTCCCTGTCTCTCTCAGCTTTACAGCTGGCCACTTCCAAATGTGCTACAACTGCATTGCAGTGGCACTGGGACTAGATTCAAAGATAACATCAATTGCACTTAAATACGGCGTGCCTCTGTTTAGACACTGACAGTATCACAGGGAGTATTATGTGGAAGAAAGCTCTTGTTAAACCATTCATTTTCATGTTAGTGGTGCACACCTTTGCACTTTGATCTTTACTGATCTGTGAAGATAGCTTTAAAACTTCTTATATCCCTAATAATTATAGCAATAAACTTACACATATACATTAAATACAAATATATATACACACACTGACACACATATGCTTATACAATAAAAAATGTGTGTGTGTTTTTTACTTAGTAACATTTTATTATACATAGGGCAGTTAAAAAATGCCTGCTAGAAACCAAAGGGCATCACACTCTTGTTCCGTCTTGTACTGTGTATAATTTACAGTGGTTAAATGTGATCTTAGTAGGACTTTCCTGGAAAACAACTGCTCAGGTGAATTCCCTTGGCTCTACTTGAGACTGATAATATCTGGTTTTCTGTTGTTGATTAACTGGGCTTAAGGTTTAAGAAGCTAAGTCAGGGAACCATGGGTAATACTGTCAGTTGTATTTGGCACATTGGCTGTTAAGGTTTCAAGAGCAAAGTGGATGATGAATGGAAGTCACATTATAGAGACCTCTGCTGTATTTCAGCAGAACTGAAACCTCAAACAAACCACATTTAGGAAGTGAGCGGTGCTTGTCATGTGTCAACATGTCAAGTGAACAGTGGGAAAGCTTGGACTTGGAAAAATTAGAGAGTTGTGCTGACTTATTTTACGATTGCATGAAAACACGGTGACACATTGACATTTTCGCGATGTGGCAATGCTTCCACACAATTCTGCTTCCTCTTGTGTGCGTGCGGCACATTTCTGAAGAAGTCACTTCCACAAAGTCAGCATTTTTGTGCTGACTACATGTGTACTGTACTTCCAGGATGCCAGGCTACGGTGATGCAGCACAAAGAAATATTTCAAATAATACATCTGTTAAACATCATCTAAAACACAAGCTTTAGAGTTTGCAAAAATGTATCTGGAAAAAAATGTGACCCGCTCTATAATTCTGAGTCCCTGACCGAGAAACCCATTTTGAATTTTATGCACAAAAGTAAAAAGTTGATTGAGCAGATCACAAATGAAAGCAATATAAAATCATAGTCTTCAGTCAGAGATTTTCTAGCACATAAAACCACATAATAAAATTAAAATAATTTAAGCTACTGACTGACACTTCATGACATCTCTAGTAAAACAGCAATTTTGCTACTGTATTTTCATTTTTAGGGAGATTGCTATGCCCATAGACAATATTCTCCAACTACTCAAAAACCTACCAAAATAATAAATAAATATATTTATTGCTGGATGAATCAGTTTATGGGTGGCTATGGCCCAAATTCCATCGTTTCTGTTTGGATTTAAATCATAAATAAATATTTCATAAGTAAACTTCATGACTAAAGTATTCTCCATCAATAAAAGTGCTTATTGTAACATACTGCTCCATACAGGAAGGCATCCTTGATCATCTGTCAGAGCACAGTGCCGGAAGCCAAGGCATTGCAACACTTGTACAAGTTTACATCTGCTAGTGGCTGCACAATCTACTCATGGAGACTGAACTGAGCACCACGCCCAAATCTCTGTTCAATTAGGATGGACAGAATGAGAGGCGAAAAATGACATCATTTCATTCTCTCAGTGGAGCCAGCATATAGTAAAGCATATTATATTCACTGTAGCTCAACTGATCCCCAAAACCACATATACTGTATATTAAAATAGATATTAAGTTGAATTCAATGACTTCTGGTTGATCACAAATACAAATGTGTTTATATTTACTAAAATCCTCTCATCAAATTTCCCACCAGTTGCTCGCCCTCATGTCATCTATGAAACCATATTTGGTATTGTCTACCTTGGAAAATGAATTATCCTACTTCCTAGTGATGTGGTGTAGAACTTAAAGGGACAGAGCACCCCCCAAAAAATGAAAGTTCTGTCATCATTTACTCACAATGTATATGTACTCCAAGTTAGGTTAGAGCCTGTAATGCCTCATTCACTATTTACTTTTGTGAGTCTTTCAGTCTCATTTAAGTCATAAGTTTGTGGTGAATAAATGATATACCTTTCATTTGTGGGTGAATGTTCCATTTAACACTTGATTTATTTAACTTCTTTACAAAAATACCTTCAAGTCAAAAAGAAGGTAAATCGTTGTGAATGGACTCACCTGTACACTGACTCTTGAATTCTTCGTACTCGGACCCGTGACCAGCTGGTACAATGGTAGATCCATCATACTTAAAAGATGCCCTTTAAATAGCAAAATTGACATTTTAAATGTTGCCATAATACCGGAGGTGTCTCCAAATCTAGCGAGCAGGCTACATAGCCATTTTTGGCCAAAATGCTGCCTAGGTAGGCGGCAAACTTGATTTTGACACACTTCCCCTGTGTTACAAGACCCATCCCTACATGTTGCACCACACACTGTCAACGAGTCAATTAAAACGGCGTTTAATGTTTTACATTTGAAAGATTCTAATTGTTGAAACAATGTAGCGAGCTCCGCCAGCACGAGCCAAACAGCGTATCTCTGGATGTGAAGTAAATCAAGGCTTCACTCACCAGCATATATCTGAGCTGTCGTCTCGCACCAGATTGTATGCTTCTCTGCAAGCCTCTTTGTCAATTCGCGTTGCCATTTCGACGATACAAAGGGAGATAACGTATCTAAATTCAGAACAAAGCCGGGGGAATGAGAGAAAATGCGGATAAATCCCAAAGTGCGACAGAGGTCTGCTGGTGTAGCAGGGAGGTCTCTTCTCTCAGTGGGATGGAGAGGCAACTAATTTAACGACTCGATTCATCTCCTATTGCCTCTTAATGGGCGTTAGTGATATTTGTTTGTCAGGTTGCTGTGCCAGTGAATCGGGGAGCTCGCGCCGGTTTCACCTCCTCCTAATGGCCAACTTGAGTATTGAGCTACATTAAATCCACCCAGTTCTGTTCGGTCATCTAACAGTTGGTCTGAGTTACTCTGACATCTTGTGGACCTGGGTTGAGAACAATGTGTCGCTCTTTTCTGTAATATTTGGATTACAGACGAGAACCAGGCCTACCATATGCGAATCACACAAAGAAATATAAAATTCCACCCTAAAATGAAATAAATCATTTTATTTTGAATAAAGAAGCACATACCTTCCCCTCAAATTCTCATTATTAAAATCTTCAGTATAGCATAAATGAATTTGAGAACAATATTATCACATATTAGCATAAAAAGTTAAAATATACTAGATAGATAGATTTAACTTAAGCTTAAATGGGTTAAAATGGCTTCTGTTTGTTTACATTTGAGTTTTTGACAGTTGAAGTTTGAATGGCCAGTCAGAAAAGATATAAATAGCTAATCAGAACAGCTGCAAGGTTTGTGTCAAGTTTGGTGGTCATTGCTTTAAGCAGGGGTGCCCAAACTCGGTCCTGGAGGGCCGGTGTCCTGCAGAGTTTAGCTCCAACCCTAATCAAACACCTGAAGCAGCTAATCAAGCTCTTATTAGGCATACTAGAAACTTCTAGGCAGGTGTGTTGAGGCAAGCTGGAGCTAAACTCTGCAGGACACCGGCCCTCCAGGACCGAGTTTGGGCACCCCTGCTTTAAAGCTTTGATGAAATTTGGTCTCAGAAAAAGAATCGGAACAAGCTTTAATAGTAGATCTGTATACTGGCTTTGTCAAGCCAACATAATTACAAAGATAGTACCTTCCTTTTATTATTATTGTCATCATCATCATGCTTATGCTACAGTCTGATTTTTTTTTGAGCGAACTTGAGCACAAAAGTGACCTTTATTTTGAAATGAAGCGCAACACGGAAGTGAGAACTCAGCTTCACTGTGCCACGGTCAAAATAACTTGTTAATAGTCACTTACGGGCATTTAATTAGTAATACGGACAAAGAATGGAAAAATTATCAAATTATATCTGCATTTTACTATGCGGTTGATGTCACAGCTGTATCGATAAAATATGTCCAATTATATTGAATATCAATGAAACGTAGTCACGATTGTGTAAATGCCCCTTTCCTTTTGTACTCAGCTTCTGACTTTCTGCTCTGTCTGTTCCTGTTTTGAACGTAATATAAATGTTTATTATATATGGTTACTTTTAATTACTTCCGATAATTAATTATGATTATGATTTTGCAGATAGTCTTATGGCAGACGACACAATGGATAGTGGGAAGCAATATCGTCTTTCACGTCTTCACAGAATAAGTGAATCTTCAAAGGTATGCATAAGTGTTGTTAAGTAAAATAGTTAACAATTTTCGATAATTGAAATAAAGCTAAAATAAAACTCAAATTGATTATTAGCTAAAAAAAAAAAAAAAAACGTTTTAAAAACTTAAAAAAAAACTGAAGCTAAAATAAAAATTAATTATAGCTAAACAGAAACTTGAAACCCCCCCCACAAAAAAAAAACGAATTACTAAAGCACATGAAAAATTACTAAAACGTAAAATATTAAAATAAAGGCCATTAATAAATACTACAATACTATATAAATAATACTAAAATAGCATTGATGCATAAACCTGTATTATTTATCAATAATAATAATTTTTTCAATAATAATTTTAATTCATTATATAATATTAACATTTGTTACATACTGATTAACTGCATTATTAACAAAAAACACATTTTTACATGAATTTAAAGGTACAGTCAGTTTTACTAATTAAAAAAAGTTTCATAATAAATAATACTTTAATTCATTATATAATATTAACATTTGTTACATACTGATTAACTGCATTATTAACAAAAAACACATTTTTACATTAATTTAAAGGTACAGTCAGTTTTACTAATTAAAAAAAGTTTCATAATAAATAATAAATTAACAGAACTTTTAACAGATTAAAATTGTGTATGCTCACATGAGATGAAGAATCCAGTTATATCGGTCTGCTTAACATTTTATTCTGCATGGAGTGGGTCACGCCACCATGTTGACATCACATGACCAGCTAACAAACCTCATGCACCCTGGCTGATAGGTGTCAGTATAAAGTTCAAAACCATTGGTGCAACTGGATGATTAAAAAAAAAAACACTGCACATTTAATATCTATAGTACCTTTTAAAAAGTCTGAATCAAGTGTCTTGAAACTATCATGCATTAACTAACTCTCATGTACAACAGGTTTATCGATGGGCAGACCAGGCTAACTACCTTCTTCAAGGTTTAAATGAGCAAAGACAGCATGGCCGGCTGTGTGATGTCGTTCTGGTGGCCGATGACCAGCGGATCCCTGCACATCGGGCTTTGCTTGCAGTATCCAGTCCCTACTTCCAGGCGATGTTCACCTTGGGGATGCGAGAGGAGCATGAGGCAGAAGTAGAGCTTGTGGGAGCCTCGTATGTTGGAGTTAAAGCAGTAGTAGACTTCCTGTACAGTGGCGAGTTACCTCTAGATGGTGGAAACATCGACTACGTCCTGGAAACCGCTCACTTGTTGCAGGTGTGGCGAGCTGTGGATTTCTGTTGCCAGTATCTGGAAAAAGAGGTACGTGAGGACAGTTACTTGTACCTGCAGGAGCTTGCCTTCCTCTACAGCCTGGACCGGCTGGACGCCTTCATAGACTGCTTCATTCTGGAGCATTTTGCCACGCTGTCCAACACATCCGAGTTCCTCCAAGATGTGCGGATGCCCAAGCTTTGTGCTTACCTTGCAGATGAGCAGGTGCAGCATGAGAACGAGCAAGCTCTTCTGCAGGTCGCCGTGCAGTGGTTGAGTCAAAGACCCGAACGTCTTGCGTTTGCCCAGCAGCTCCTCTCCAACATTCGTTTTGCTCTCATTCCACCGGATGACCTCATAGGGTGTGTATTGCCAGCCATACGTTCCCTGCTGCCTCCAGACACAGGATGTGAGGCGCTAGTGGAGGAGGCTGTGGGCTACCACACGAGAGTCAGCGCCCAACCTGTACTGCAGACAACACGCACAGGCCTTCGAGGAGGTGTGGAGCGTCTGCTGTTGGTGGGAGGGGAGGTGTCTGAACGTGGAGAGGAGTTGAGTGCTGAGGTGTGCTGGCTGGATGAAGAAGAAGGGAAGTGGGTCGTCGAGACTCTGCTGCCAGCTCAGAGGAGTCACCACTGTGTTGCTGTTTTGGGGGGATTTATCTTCACCGCAGGTGGGAGCTCCTCACGGGACAACGGTGGAGATTCTGCAAGCAACTTGCTGTACCGATATGACCCCCGAAGCAACTTGTGGATTAAGGTAATTCACTTCACTCCTGACAATTTGATGCGTCAGTGACATAGTTATAATAGTTAACTAAAATTTTAACTAAAACTTAAATAAAAACCATAAAAAATTAAATAAAAATGAAATTAAATAAATGTTAACTGAAATAAAATAAAACATTAAAAACTTCAGCTACTTACAAAGGCAACATTTCTCGTTTTAATTTAGTTTAACTCGGTGTAATAAACTAACACCGAAACCTAAGTATAAAAATTAATTAAAACTATAGAAACAAACACACATGTACATATATATATATATATGCGTGTATATATATATATATATATATATATATATACTCTTAATGATACTAAAATATATAGTTTAATAGCAGGGCTCCGGACTAAATGGTTGCATCTGATCATTTTTGGTACAACTAAATATTTTAGTTTGGTTTAGTTTATTAGCATTTTATCTGCATCCAAACTCAAGATCATGTGGATAGATTAAATATAAAATTTGTATAATTAAGTCTTAGTTTTAAATTTTGTAAAAGTTTTAATTTTTATTTGTAATTATGTTAGTATTCCTAAGCATGAGTGAAGCAGAGAATTGTGCTGGTGTTTGAAAGTGATCTGTTGATATTCAGGGTGCCCCTATGAACCAGCGGCGTGTGGATTTCTATCTGGGAACCATGGGAGACTGTCTTATAGCTGTTGGGGGACGCAATGATAGTGGTGCTTTGTCTTCTGTAGAAGTGTACCATCCTGCTGAGGACTACTGGACCTACGTTGCAGGATTGCCCAGGTTTGTTATTTGTTTTTGAATTTTTTTTTTGAAAGGTTGCACCAGTTTATGTGGATATTTATTTTGAATCCTCTTTGTACACTACTGTTCATACGTGTGGGGTCATTAAGTTTTGTTTTTTTTTAAGAAAATTAGTCGTTTTATTCAGCAAGAGTGTGTTAAATTGGTCAAAAGTGACAGTGAAGGCATTTATGTTTCAAAAAATTCTGTTCTTTTGAATTTTCTATTCATCAAAGAGTCCTGATAAAAATGTATCCCGATTTTCAAATGTATTAAACAGCACAACTTTTATATTTATATATATATATACAGTGGGTACGGAAAGTATTCAGACCAGCTGGACTCAAATGAAGGTGTAGAACCATCTCAAGGATGATCAGAAGAAATGGACAGCACCTGAGTTAAATATATGAGTGTCACAGCAAAGGGTCTGAATACTTAGGACCATGTGATATTTCAGTTTTTCTTTTTTAATAAATCTGCAAAAATGTCAACAATTCTGTGTTTTTCTGTCAATATAGGGTGCTGTGTGTACATTAATGAGGAAAAAAAATTAACTTAAATGATTTTAGCAAATGGCTGCAATATAACAAAGAGTGAAAAATTTAAGGGGGTCTGAATACTTTCCGTACCCACTGTATATTGTTATTAAAACTTATTACAACTAAAATATTTTCTTCTTTCATAGATTCACATATGGTCATGCAGGCACTATTCAAAAGGGCATTGTTTACATCTCAGGGGGCCATGATTACCAGATCGGCCCTTACAGACGTGACATGCTAAGTTATGACCCCAAAACTGCGGACATGTGGACAGAGCGACAGGCCATGATCTTGGCTCGAGGCTGGCACTCTATGGCATCTCTGGATGACAGGATCTATGTCATCGGGGGCAGTGATGACCATGAGGATAGCATG